GTCATCATATCAGCACCATTATCATCTGTATGAACCTTGGCTAATTCCAACAACCCAACATCCAAAGCATCACGTATCCAATGATACCTAACATCGATGTGCTTGGACCTAGAATGAAAAGTTGAATTCTTACCAAGATGAATTGCACCTTGACGATCATAAAATAGCAAGTATTTGTCCTGCACAAAACCAAGCTCCTGCAAGAATTTCTTCAACCAAATCAACTCCTTGCATGCTTCCGTAATGGCAATAAACTCTGCCTCAGTAGTGGACAATGCAACACATCTCTACAATCTGGATTGCCATGCCACAGCTCCCCCTGCAAACTTAATCAAGTAGCCTGAAGTAGTCTTTCTGGAATCAATGTCTCCAGCCATATCAGAATCAGTATAGCCCACAAGAGTAGGTATATCACCTCCAAAACAAAGCCTCAAACTGGTAGTACCATGAAGATACCTCAAAATTCATTTCACAGCATTCCAATGCTCTCTACCTGGATTAGACAGGAATCTACTGACTGTACCAACAGCATGTGCAATATCAGGTCTTGTACACACTATTGCATACATCAAACTCCCCACAGCAGATGCATAAGGAACCCGTTGCATATCTAATTTTTCAGCTTAATTGGAAGGACTCTGATTAACACTCAATTTGAAATGAGCAGCAAGAGGAGTACTTACAGCCTTAGCATTTTCCATCTGGAACCTCTGAAGCACCCTTTTAACATAGTGTTCCTGTGACAGCTAAAGTTTCTTCTTGTTCCTGTCACACATGATTCTTATACCAAGAATCTGATTAGCAGCTCCCATGTCTTTCATGGCAAATGACTCGCCCAATTGCTTCTTCAACCTGTCAATCATGGAAATATTTTTCCCAACAATAAGCATGTCATCAACATACAATAACAGGATAATGAAATTATCATCAGCAAACTTTTTAACAAACACACAGTGATCAGAAGTAGTCTTCTTGTAGCCTTGCTCACACATAACAGACTCAAACTTCTTGTACCACTGACGCGGGGCTTGCTTCAAGCAATATAAGCTCTTTCTCAATCTGCACACATAGTCTTACTTGCCTTTAACAAGAAAAACATCAGGTTGCTTCATGTAAATATCTTCCTCCAAATCACCATGAAGGAAAGCAGTTTTTACATCCATTTGCTCTACCTCTAGATCAAGAGTAGCAGCCAAACCCAACACGGTTCTTATGGATGACATCTTCACCACATGAGAAAAAATCTCATTGAAATCAACACCCTTTCTTTGTATGAAACCTTTCACCACCAATCTGGCTTTATATCTTGGAGATGTAGAATTGCTTTCTTGCTTTACCCTGTAAATCCACCTATTTTCCAAAGCCTTCTTGCCCTTAGGCAATTTCACCAAATCAAAAGTATGATTATCATGCAAAGACTTCATTTCATCTTGCATAGCATCCAGCCACTTCTTCTTTTCATCACTCTCCATGGCCTCATTAAAACACTCAGGTTCTCCTTCATCTGTCAAGGTAACATAGTCATCAGAAGGATACCTGGTAGATGGTTTCCTCTGCCTATTAGACCTCCAAAGTTGAACTTGAGGTGGTTCAGGAGCATCACCAAGATCTTCATCCTGTAACATCTCATGTTCCTCTTCAACATCATCAACAGGAATATCTACATCATCTCCAAGCTGCTGGTCACCAACACCATCATGTTGCTCATCATTCTGAACATTATTTTCAACAGTATCCAGATCATGTACAGGCCTCCGAACTGGATCAACATTAGACAAACTATTATCGATCTATGGTGTAGTCTTCTCCATCTTATTAATGTCTTCGATGGTTTGGTATTCCATGAACTTCACATCACGGCTTCTAACAGCTTTCTTCCCAACTGGATCATATAGCTTGTAGCCAAATTCATCCTGACCATACCCGATAAAAATACACTGCCTTGTCTTTGCATCCAACTTGGATCTCTCATCCTTTGGAACATGAACATATGCTTTGCAACCGAAGACACGCAAATGATCATATTTGACATTCTTTCCAAACCAAATTTTGTATGGCACCTCTACATTCAAAGAAACCGCAGGACTCAGATTAATAACATGCACTGCCGTGTACAATGCTTCACCCCAGAAATGTTTAGGCAACTTTGATTCAGAAAGCATACACCTAACTCTTTCAATCAAAGTCCTATTCATCCTCTCCTCTAAACCATTCAGCTGAGGAGTTTTAGGAGGAGTCTTTTCATGTCTGATACCGTGCTGCTTGCAATAAACATCAAATGGTCCACAATACTCACCACCATTGTCAGTACGAATGCATTTCAGCTTCTTGCCTGACTATCTCTCCACCATAACATAGAACTCTTTGAATTTCTCCAGAACTTGGTCTTTTGTCTTCAAAGCATAGACCCAAAGCTTCCTGGAACAATCATCAATAAAGGTAACAGAATAAAGTGCACCACTAAATGACTTTACCTTCAACGGTCCACAAACATCAGAATGCACCAATTCAAGCAACTCTGACTTCCTTGAGGGAGGATGCTTCTTGAAGGATACTCTAGTCTGCTTACCAGCCATGCAATGCGAACATTTCTCAAACTCTGCACTCTTCAATCCCGGAAGCACATCCTTTTTAGCTAAACAGCTCAGCCCCTTTTCACTGATATGACTAAGCCTGCGGTGCCACAAAGAAGCCTCCATATCCATGACATTCACATTGTCTTTAACAATCAATGATTTAGTCCAATACAGTTTATTATCTTTCTCCCCTCTAGCCACAACCAAGTTACCTCTGGTGAGTTTCCATTTTCCAGAACCAAAGTGATTATCATAACCAACTTCATCAAGCATATGCACAGAAATCAAATTGAAGCGAACATCTGGAGCATGTTTGACTCCTCTCAGCAACAACTGCACTCCCATGTTGGTCTGCAAACAAATATCACCAATACCAACTACCTTGGACACACCATCATTACCCATCTTCAACACTCCAAAGTCACCAACAGTGTAAGATGTGAAGAACTCCTTCCTTGGTGTAACATGCAGTGTAGCAGCACTATCAACAACCCACATGATCTCATCTGATACAAGATTGACTGAATCATGATCACGGAGAATAATTAGATCATCACAAGTAGCAGTAGTAACACGGTCATCATCATCATGATTCTTATCTCTCTGCTTACTATTATTGTTTTTGTTCTCCCTTTTCCATATGAAACAGTTTTTCTGTATGTGCCCCATTTTGTGACAATGATTGCACTCAACATTCTTGTATCTGGACTTGGACTTACTTCTGTTGTTGTCTCTACTCGCACTCCTGCTATTCTTCCAGTTCCCTTTCGGTTCCTTTTTCTGACTCCTGCCTCTGTTCGCAGTGACAAGTACCTCAGAATGAGATGAAGTACCCTGTGCCTTCCTTCTCATCTCCTCATTCAGAACACTTCCCTTTACACTTTGCAAAGAGACAACACCATCAGAAGCTGAGTTTGTAATTGAAACCCGAAAAGTTTCCCAAGAATCTAGTAGAGTATTCAGTAGCCATAGTCCCAAAATTTCATCATCAAATTTGATACCCATGCCTGACAATTGATCTAGGAGCCCTTGAAAATCATTCAAGTGATCAGAAATAGAAGTTCCCTCCTTGTACCTCAAATTCATCAAGGAATTCAACAAATACAACTTATTATTCCCTGATTTAGAAGTATACAAAGATTAAATCTTCTTCCACAAGGATTTGGCATGTTCTTCATTAGCAATGTGATTATAAACATTGTCTTCTACAAATTGCCGAATAAAACCACAAATCTGCTGATGTTCAAAATTCCACTCTTCATCAGTTTTGGATTCCGGCTTCTCACTAGCAAACACAGGAAGATGCATATTTTTCACAAATAACAGATCCTTCATTTTTCCCTTCCATAAATGATAATTAGTTCCATTCAAAGAAATCATTCTATTTGTATTTGCCTTCATCATTCAAACAAGTCAAACAACCCCTTAACCAAAGAGCTTTGATGCCACTCTGATGGGAAATTCAACAATAATTAACAGTAACAACTCTAATAGAGAAATACACAGCGTATATAATTTCCCCAACTTGTTGAATCTGTGAGGAGCAACAACAAATAATGCAGCAACTAAAAAATCAACAACACAAAGAGACACCAAGATTTTTAACATGGAAAAAACCTTCTCAAAGTGAGAAGTAAAACAACCACGGGCACAAGCCAGTAAACAAGCTCCACTATGATCAATGTATGGGTACAAGAGAGTCTCAAATGTAGCACAAATCATGCTCAACAATCAGCCAAAACAACAAGGCAACAAAACATGAAATAGAGAACAAAGAAGAACCAGAAAACTCCAAAGGGCTGCTACTGTGCGTGGCTAATATCTCCCACCTCAGACCTCTGATCGCCGATCACACCGTTCATATTGAAGATCCGGGTGTCAGGAACCTGAAGTTCAAATTTCGGCCAAATTGGACGGTGAATGAAAGAGATATCGCGATTCTAGTGCAGCTGCTATGTGTATGTGCGAAAATCTGTTTCTCTTCTCTCACTTTTCTCTTGCCTCTCTTGCCTAAATCAGACCTCTCACTCTTATCCTAATTGACCCCTCTCCACTTAGATAAGTGAGACACATGGGCTTGCACATATTGGGCCTTTCTCCACATAGGATGGGAGCCCAAAACCCAACAAATGTTGGTGTTAACTTTCAATTTAACAATATTAATTTATTTTTTTCAATTAGCTAGAATTTGCGGACACAAAATTCACTCTTTAAAATGAATAAATGTCTTGTAGCGCATTATTATATTTTGACAAATTTTGACAAATACTTTGGACAACTAGTATTCCACTATCTTGTTGATCTCTTCTTCCTGCAGTATAAATACTCATGCATGGTTAGTGATCTTTAAGTAATTTATGTCCAAATTAACAAGATACACTCAAGTACAAACATTTGATTAATTAAAATCAAGAATTAATAAACATGTCATGGTGGAGCGGTTTCTTTGAGCTAAGGCCTTTGTTTCACTTGCTACTTCCACTTGGCATCCATTGGATTGCTGAGGAAATGACAGTTTATGTTCTTGTTGATGTCACAACCACTGCTTTGTGTCCTCAACAATCAACTTGCTCCAAATTCATTTACATCAATAGCCTTCAACAATCGGTATGTTCATACCCGTCTTTGAGGGCGTGCAAGAGCGGGCTAAAGACCTGCAAGACGGATTACTGAAAGACTCAGAATTTATCACGGCTAAACCGTAGATAAATAAGGCCTCATAAAATATTTGTCATTATAATTGTTTTGTCATGGTTGATTGTAGCTAACTTCAGACGGCTATGAATAGATATGTATTATAACATCAACCAACCAACCAAAATTAGTAATCTTTAATGTATTTTCTTTCTTTCTAGATTGTTGGAATTTTCAAGATGGTGGTTCTTCCACTTCTAGGCCAGCTTTCAGACAAACATGGCCGCAAACCTTTACTCCTTGTTACCATGTCCACAACTATAATTCTTTTTGGTAATTACAATTTTGCTTAATCTAATATCTTGGTGATGTTAAGTAATTGAATTATCCTTAACATTGTTGATTCTTGTAGCTTTACTTGCTTGGAACCAATCCGAGGAATTTGTATACGCCTACTATGTGACTCGAACATTTTCATACATAATCAGTCAAGGGAGTATTTTCTGCATTTCTGTCGCAGATGTTATCAATGAAAACAAAAGAGCAACAGTATTTAGTTGGATCACTGGTCTATTTTCTGCTTCACATGTTCTCGGGAACATCTTGGCTCGATTTCTTCCTCAAAACTACATATTTTTGGTACTAATCTTTGTTCACTCAGTTTGGTCTTGATGTTTGATTATGAGTCTTAATCCTGGTTTATTAATTTTAGGTTTCAATAGCGCTATTGACCTTTTGTCCAATTTACATGCAAATTTTCCTAGATGAAACTGTGAAAGTGAATCCAAGAAAGAACCAAGAGTTAGGCTTATGCAAAAAAGTCGTTAGCGTTGTTATCCAAAGATACATATCTATGAAAACTGTCGCACAAATAGTAATCTTCAAGTTGTTTATCTGATTTTTCGCAACAATACATGAACATAGATGTGATTATATGCTCGCTTAATTTTTTATAATTTTCAGTCCAACATTAAGAGGCATGGCTCTTGTTTCTTTCTTTTACGAGTTGGGAATGTCTGCCATAAGCAGTGTTTTACTGGTATGTTTTCAACTTTTTGCTTATACTTAAATGAAAAATCTCTTTTAATTAACTCATAAATTGACAGTCAAGTAATCAATTCCTATGCAGTACTATTTGAAAGTTGTTTTCGGTTTTAACAAAAATCAGTTCTCAGAACTTCTGATGATGGTCGGAATTGGGTCAATCTTTTCTCAGATATAATACTAATGATTATAAGATATTTGGCTTATTTTAAGTACTTACTGCAAACTGAATTCCAGATTGTGTTGCTTCCAATACTTAACCCTTTGGTTGGAGAGAAAGTGATTCTATGTTCTGCCTTACTTGCATCAATAACATATGTAAGTTTATCTTTCTTATCTTTTCATCTTAATTACATGCTTCCTAAAACCAAAATCACTTATTCTATAATTCTCTTCATAATTTGTTTTTGTAGGCTTTGCTTTCTGGTATAGCATGGGCCCCTTGGGTAAGTAAAATTGATAACTTCCTATATGAAATTTTACTTTCTCTGACAGACACCTTTAAAAAAAGTGTATATGTGTCAGTGTATGTGTTCAAAACTTACATTTGTGATTCCGTTTCTGGTCAGTTTCTTGTGTCCAAAACTTACACTTGTGATTTTGTTTCCGGTCAGTGTCTATGTCCAAAACTTACACTTGTGATTCTGTTTCCAATCAGTGTCTGTGTCTAAAACTTACACTTGTGATTCGGCTTCCAGTAGTTGGTGCTTTATAGTTTATTTTCAATGTTTATGACTTATGTTTGTTCAATGTCCTTATACTTATGCAGGTACCATACTTAAGTGCCTCATTTGGCATAATCTATGTCCTAGTGAAACCTTCTGTGAGTCATAGATTAATTTTTCTTTTTCTCATAAGTGATTATGATCCACTTTTATAGTTATGATCAAATCATTAATTTCTTGTGATGTAGACATATGCTATTATTTCAAAAGCATCAAGTTCAAGCAATCAGGGAAAAGCACAAACTTTTATTGCTGGTGCACAATCTATATCTGATTTACTATCACCAATTGCTATGAGTCATTTGACATGTGAGTGGAATATTATAAAGATAAAGATAGTTTTTCTTTTTTCTTGCAATTGAGAATGCTTAATGATTGTTGTTTCATTTATTTAAGCACTGTTTTTATCTAGCAATTCTCCATTTGAATGCAAAGGTTTTAGCATTATATGTGCATCTATATGCATGGTAAGATATCTAATTTCTGGTTTCACATGAATATCTAGTTGTTTTCTTTTTTGTCTTCTATATTAACTTTAAAATATTTTCAATTTTTTCAGATAATTTCTTTGATTTTTGCTTGCATGTTAAATCTTAATCCTCATTCAAGTAATGACATGGAAGAAAACTCAGAAGACCCTCTTCTGAATTACAACTGATTAGAGATGTAATTAAGGCATCCTTTGCCTCAAATTTCTGTTGGACATTGCCACACATAGATTTGGTATTATATTTAAGATTAAATTCGTTTGTTTTTTAAGGAAAATATTACTTGTTTGTATCCTTACCTCATTCTCAACCTGAACCATGCCTTGACTAGAGGACAAAAAAATATCGATAATTATGTAAATTTGAAATTGATTTGTGATTTGTGATAGAGTAAATAATTTCTTTATTTTTTATTTTATTTTTAATTTCTTTTTCATGAAGTTCTCCATTTCTCTATAACTATTTTGGGTAGCCATTTTGAGTTTGTAAGATAAAAGATCCATACACCTAATGCCTTAAGGTTTTAGGTGGATATGTGGTGTCAAAGTCTTTTGGATCTCAAATATTTAATTTATTGACACTTCAGACACTTCCCTCTCTAGACTCTCCAACACAAAAATACACTACTACAAATAATACATTTCATGAAAAAACTTTCACCCCAAAAAAAAAAAAAGTATAACAGTAAGACGCGCCATATTTTATTTAAAAAAATTAAAACAACATATTCCCTCAAATTTTAATAACACCGAGGAGAAAGATAATTCAAGACATGCTTCGAATCTCAACTATTGCAATTTATGTTTTTATTTCGTTATAAGTGTAAACTAAATGATCTATCCTTTCGATTTCCTTAATAATCTAAAGATAAAATAATCGGATATTATTATAAAACCACTCATTAAACAGATTTTACGCTAAACCTAACTTATATGTAGCCGTCCCAAACTCGTATGCATCTTGTGGATGGATTGCAAGACAGGAAAAAAATCTTCAATGTTATTCAATCTTGAACAAAACATTTTTTCAACTCTTGCAATCTATCTCACATAATGTTGATGTTTTTGTGGTTGTATTTTTGAAATAACTTTCATATGATGTCAATAAAAGAAAACAACACTGCTTTCCTTGACTGACAACATTGAAAAATTTATTCCTAAACATACTGTAAATTGCACACAAAAAATGTCGATTGATAAAAAATTAAAATGGAAATATGACGTTACTTTCAATTTCTTTTTCATTTACCATTTTTTCTTTGAACTTATTACCTCAGTTTTTTTTTCTAAAATTGAGGAGTTCACTAATTTTATTTTATTTTTCTATTTAAAAATAAAATACGTTTCTCCTCATTTTTTTAAAAACCGAGGAAATATATTACACAACTTCATCAATAAATCTATACCCTATATTCTTAAAGGAACAACGTTCAAGATATTGTAATGACATCAATTCACAACAAACTATTTAAATTCACCACTATATATATTTCTTTTTTAAAAAAACATTTGCCATGAAATATTCTGAATTTAAAATATTCTTCTCTATCTTTACTCAACTGCAATTTTCACAGTGGATTAAAGAATCAAAAGTAAAAAAAAAAAAAATTTAAAAAAAAATTTTTCTTAATTTTATGGTTTCAAATTGTATAATAATTGATTCCTTAGCTTACAAAATAACAACCATATTTGAAAACAAAAATTCAGAAGATCCAAGAACACCTTCTATTTATTTTCAATTTTCATCTTCATCAACTTATCTCACAAAAATAATTCTAATTGATGAAGAACAATAATGTTTATTGAAATCTTTAATCTTTGATAACCCGTAAAACTTTAATTTTTAAGCTTTAACCCATAACAACTTCATTTGAGATGAAGAACACGAAAAGGAGGGAAACGAAGAGGGAAAGGGAAAAGGGTAACATGAAAATGGACGGGTCTGCAAAATGAAGGTGGATGTTTGTTAAAGTTTGGGATGACTTCAAGAACAAATTTGAGATTTTGCTTTTTCTTATTTTGTTCTCAAGACCAGGTCTAGATTTTTTTTATTGAGTTCTCAACAACACATATTGTTGAGTAATTAATGTAGTAGTTTTTTCAATTCTTTGCATCTTTTATATGGAAAAGTTTTCAAGTTTTAGGATTTGGTTGGCCTCGTACCAACTCTTTCATCTTCTTCCCAGTTTTCTTATTCATTGAAATTCTCTTACCAACTCTTTCATTTTCTTTTGTTAATTATATTTGTTTATCAATTGTTTGTTATGTTGATGTTGGTTAATGTCACTCATTGTTATCTCTCATCGTTTAACATAAAGGGTGTTAAGAAATATTTGAATATTTTTTAAATACTCATTGAATATTCTTTGAGAAAATTAATTTTAGAGAAAATTTGATAATTTGATTCTCTTGCATTCTATGTTTGGAAATGGAACAACTTAATTTTTGTAATAAAATTGAACTTTACGTGTGCTTTTCTATTTGAGTATGTTTTACATACATTATCAATTCAAAAAACAATTGGGAAAGAAGATGAATCTTTCTAATCAAAATTGGAGAAGAAGATGAAGATTTTTAGTCAAAACTCAGAAGAAAAAATTAGTGACGGTTTTTGTATTGTTAAATCAATCACAAAATTTGACTAATCCACATGACATTCACGTCATTACCACATGATCTTATCGGCTGACTTTGACTAACATAATAGACGAAAATGACTAACATGATACATTTTGAAAAATTAAGAAATCAAAATGTTAATTTTTAAAAATTAAGAAACTAAAATGATTTCTAAAATAAAATTAAAAGACGAAAAATAATATTTTACTATAATTTTTTTGTTGTTGATAGTCTCCAAACACACCTACACTGACCGTAATGCCAAAACTATCATGAATTACTTTATGCCTTTATCTAAGTTTGATTGTAATGCCAAAACTATCATGAATTACTTTATGCCTTTATCTAAGTTGCATTTTATCCAAGATATTATAGAAAGATGCTACAAGATTTCTTTGATTTTAGAAGTAATAGGAGGATGACTCATCACATCAAAAACTTTAAGAATTGCATATTCTACCGTGTTAGGAGTATATCAAAAATACTTGTATAATTTTCACTAAGGAAGACGTTAGATATAAAAGAATATATAACAGATTTTTAATCTATTTTCTTACCTTGAAATCTAAAATTTATCCTACAAAACCAAACAATGTTAATATATTAATAATGATACTCTTTATAACAAACTTACAATGACTATACTAAAATTTGTCGCAAGAGTTGATGACATATTGCACATAAGTAGTGTAAATAGAGATACATATTAACAATAAAGATAATAAGCAGACAAAATAGAAGAAAAAAAATCAGAGTTTCAATAATGTGAATAACATCACTTATGAGAATAAGGGTTACAAAGAAAATATATATAATAAATTATAAATAAATAAAACTATCTTCAACCCAATTACAACAAAAGGCTCATTATATATTATGTAAGATCACCCCTCAAATTCACAATACATTAATATGAGGTATTAATAGTTTAACAAAAAAATACTCAATAATAAACAATAAATATATATCTAAAACTCTAACATTCCCCTTTAATTTTACAAATTAACCCTTAAAATGGAGATCAAACAAAATAAACTAATATCATAACCAACAAAGAGAGAAACCAATAAAAAGAACCATCATAGAGAGGAGCAACAATTAAAGAAGAAGAAGATAGAAAACAATATTGAGAAACAAAGCAATACAAATCTAAAACTCTAACATTATCCTTCAAGATAAGTTTTTATTTATTTACAAATTAACCTTGAAAAATAGAGATCAAACAAAACAAACTAATATCATAACCAACAAAGAGAGAAACCAATAAGAAGAACCAGATGAGCAACAACTAAAGATGAAAAGAGAAAACTTCAGTAAGAGACAAAACATTTAGTGAGAGAGAGAGAGATCAAACTAAATCAAGCAAAAAAAAGAAGAATCTAAAGATGAATAATCAAATAGAAGAAACCATATAGAGAAACAACCAAAGAGAAGAACCAATAGAGAGAAATAACCAAACAGAAAAACCAATAAGGAGAAGAGTAACCAAACATAAGAGTCAATTGGGAGAAAATAAACCAAACAAAAGAAATAATGGAGGGAAAAGTAACCAAATAGAAGAACCAACTGAAAGAGAAACCTATGGATATACAAATTCGAAATTATGGCAGGTGAGTTCAAATACGTATAATTGGAACTACATATTTTTTAGCTCGAAAACAAAATTAATGCAAACACTGAGAGATGAAATGAGTGAACTTTATCTTAAATTGCAGTTTCTTTGACTTTCTTTGATGTGATAAAATGTAAGAGTGTTGGTTTGGAATTGAAAAGTTAGTTGAAATAATATTTTTTTAAAGGTTTTTAGTTATGAAGGAATTTTGAAGTGTGAGAGAGATGATCATGCAAGATGATAAATCATATAAATGAAACTGTTGAGAAATGACTTCAAGAATATGTTCAGAGTTGTATCTCTGAATTAACCTTAAGAAATTTACAGTTACATCTCTGAACTAAATTTTGACAAAAACTGAGATTTGATGCGTTCGAAAATGTATCTCCTAATAAATCTAAAGATGTTTTACGATTTCCAAAGATGCGTCCCACTATATAAGGACGTGAAAAGAAAATTCCCAAAATTACCCTTAATATATGGGCTATTCAAAATAAATAATTTTTAAATGTAACAAAATTATAAATACATTTCCAATGTGTTTTTGTTTGTAATTTTATAAATTAAACAAATTAATAAAAAATATATTTAAAGACCAAAATAAATAACAAAAGCATACATTAATATAAATTAAAGAAATAACCCAAAAACATTGTTGCGGAGTAGCTTGAAAAAAAGGGAGATATTTCTCCAACAGGATAACTGTTGGATGTTCTGTGTTTGAATAGCTATTGAGAGAATGAATCACGTACACTGAAACAAAACCACAATAATGTCATATACAAACATGGAAGTTCTTTCTCTCTCTGTCACACTCACCAAATCTCAAACCTTTCCCTCTCTCAAACAACCAATTCACCAACTTCCAATAACCACAACACTACCCAACAAAACCAATCTTTCTTCTTCATCATCTTCTTCTTATTCTTCTTCTTCTATTTCATGTAACTCCTCTTTTACCAGAATCTCAGCAACGAATGCACAACCATCAATTTCACAAACCGATATGTTATTTCCTGCAGGAAATTCAAAGCATTGGATTGTTAGAATGGATAAGCCTGGTGTTGGTGTTGTTACCAAAGCTCAGATTGTTGATTATTATGCTCAAATTTTGACCAAGGTTAAGGGAAAGTAAGGACACTCATTACTCAACTCTACTTTATCTGCTGTTTTTTATTAGGTTTATTGCTTTCACTAAAACTAGATGAAAATGGTGTGTGCAGTGAAAAAGATGCACAAATGTGTTTGTATCATGTTTCTTAGAAAACCAACTTTGGCTTTTATTGTGAAATTGATGAGGACTGTGCACTTGAGTTAGCTGGTTAGTCTTGTGGGTTTTTAACCTTTTGTTTCATAGTTTAAATTGCTGAATTGAATGAAATTTGAGAGGTTTATTGTGATGCAGGTGTGCCTGGTGTCTTGTCGGTTCAGCCAGACCATAATTTTGAGTCTGAAAATAAGAATTATGAAGGATTGTTTGTTTTGTAACTTCCCTGTAATTTTGCCTTTGGGAGCTTCTTCATAATGCTATGATTTTACCTTAATATAACTTATGTGGCATGTGTGATTTGTGTTCTTGTATCTTGAATGATATTTTGCATTAGTTTATACTCAGGTCTTAGGTTTTTTCAGTGATTAAGAAAAACAATTAATGCACAGTGGATTCAGGGTCGTCTTTGAGGGCTTGCAAGGTGGACTGTCACACAAGGCCTAAAATTTGTCACGATTAAACCTTGGCTAAATAAGGTCTCATAAAATGTTTGTCACGGTTAAACTATAGTTAAATAGGACCTTTATTTGTTTTGTTATAGTTAAACTGCAACAAATCTATATAGGACCTCCAAAAACTTGAGACAGCTTTGTGGAGCATTACTTGCAAGTTGTGTGTACATACATTAGTTTATGGGTAGAACTGGAAAGAAATAATGAATGCCACATTGAAAAAGCAAAACAACACTAATTTTAAAGTATTTTTTGTATGCTAAGTCTACAGTTTTTGTTGAAAGTTGGAACAGACTGAGTATTTCATTAGGGAGCACTTTGTAGTTGTAACGAGTTCTTTGTGTTGGTTTTTGGTTTTGGCTGATCTCACGGGTATAGCTTGCTTGTTTGCATTGAATAGTCTTTTTGCAGTATAAACTTTGGAATAATCAGAGCCTTTACCTTTGCATCATAGAATAGACAAGTCTATCTGTTAAAACTCGTGCAGCTTAAGCCACTCTATGAATTAAAAGTATAGAATCCCAACACTAATATTGCATGTTCGGACCCTAAAATCCAATATATACCAGAAACTAAACATAATTTTGTAGATTCATCCGTTTTTCAATGATTCTAGCACATGTTTATGCACTACAGTACAAACCTAATTTAATGTTATTGACTATGTGTTGTACCCCAAAATTTGCCCTCCCATATTCTTCAAGATTTGTCAAAAGCATGCTTCAAAATTCCCCAAGGGTTGCACAGTTCAAGGGCCTCCTAACAGTCAAAATTAGGGTTTTGGTTCTGACAAAGAAAATGAAGTTTCCAAGGGTCCAATCAAGTCCCACATGCCTATAAACATGTTCAAGCATCCTCATACCAAGTTTCAAGACTTACAGCTCAAAATTGCACAGTCAAAAACCCTAATTGCACTACAGTCAACTGTAGGGGCAAAATGGTCATTCGACAGTCAAAAGTTCAAATTTTTGGTCAACATCTCATTTTGAAGCCACAAACATCATTTGATCAATGCTTGATCATGATTCTCAAAGCTTGGCTCAAAAAGTCTCAAGATGCAAAAGTTTCCTTATTTGGACAGTTGAAAAAGTCAACTGTAAATTGACCAGGGCATAACTTCCACATGGGTTATCAGAAAAATTCCATCCAAAGCTCATTTTGAAGAGAAAGACATTTCCTACAACTCCTCTTCACACTTCAAGTCCAAAAAATGCTCTCACAAAAAGTTACCAATTTCAACATTATAGGTCATTTTCAAAAGTCAACAAAAAGGGACTTTAAGTAAAAGGCCATAACTTGAGATTGGTAAATCAAAATGACATGGGACCAAAGACATTGGTTAAAGGACTCAAAGACCTTTCCAAAATGTCCAAGAACATGAGCAAAGCCTTAAAATTGAGCAAGTTATGCCTTGTGGAAGTTGGGAAATGTTTGGATATTTTGAAAAGTCAACATTGCTTCAAATGACCTAAAATTGCTAATGGGCCTCTTTTTCTTCCATAATTCATCATCCAAGGCATGTGCACGACCATTTGGCCCAAAGGGGAGTTTTTATCATTTTTTATTTATTTATTTGGATTTTTTATTATTAATAATTCATTTAATTAAATAAAATACATGAAAAATACTAAACTTAATCTTTTGAATCTTTTTGTGCATAAAATAATCTCAATATTTAGTGTACAATCAAATATGGAAGGAATTAGGGTGATTGGATGTGATTGAAGCCAAAAAGCATGAAAAAAGATTTGGAAAATTATGGCTTGAAAATCAAATATTGCATAATCAATTCAAGGATTCTTTGATCAATTTTTTCAACCCTAATCATTCACAGGTACATATACAAGCTAACCCTATTCAGAAAAGACGGAAAAGCTGCGCCATACATAGAAAACCATACTTGAGTTTTTGGCTTAAAAATTGAAAACTGAAATCGTGATTCCCAAGCATTTCAAGGCAAAATAATCAGTCCATTGCCTTCCTAAGACGTCAGGGAAACCTCCTGGATAATTCTCCAACCCTCTAACACCTTGAATCGGTATACATAGATCAAACTTTTTCATATTTTTCTTATAATCGTATTTCAAATTCCCAGCATTCTCATTGCATTTTATTCATGGATTTGTACTAATGAGACCTTTCTGAAGCTAACAATATGGTTTGATTGAAGTTTTGGGCATCATACGCGAATCTACCATTGTTGTTTTTTAGGGTTCTTCAACTTTCAAATTAGGGTTTTTTGAATACAGTAAAATTGGAACGTCACAATGCCATAAACGAAACCAGCGTGCTTGGACGAAAAGAATAGGACCCTCGCGCCTAATTTATGTGGCCGGACGGCCTAATCGCTATTTTTTATAATGGTGTCTAAGGGAACGGTTCAAAACCGTTGCCCATTCTTTTTGTGTTTCAGGAAAAAAACAAGCTAAGGAAGAAGAAGGGTACGTGGCTAGCGCTGATGGGTCCATTCAAAATTTCGCGCGGAAAAAAGAGCATCAACGTTGTTTATTTTATTATGTTTATTGATTGCATAATGTACAAAGAAGTAAAGCAGCTCCACTGGCAGGCATAAGCATTGGTAAACCACAGGACCTGGGTTCGAGCCCCAGGTCCCTCACCCTTTCCATGATTTTTTTCTATTAACGCTTCTATGCAGTTTCAACGCTGGAGACCACCATACGTCCACAATTCCCAGCTTGCCACGCGTATGCCAAGATCAATCAGAGGGCCACAGTTTGAGGAACATCATGGACGTGAGTCAAAAGCGCTACACGCTGGCATGGAAGTCAACGAGGCCAAAGATGCTTGGGCCCAAATCACTACAACCAACCCTCCACTTGGGGACAACACCCCCTCTAGTTTGTTTCTTTTACTTTTTTTTATATTTTTCTTTTCTTTATTTTAATTAATTTCTTTTAATTCTTTATAATTATTATTTTCATAATATATAAAAACACAAAAAATCAGAAAAGATAAAAAAGTAAATATTTTTATTTAACTAGTATTTTTGTAAATAAATAACCTTAATTGATTTTAGTTTTAAACTTAGGGTTAAATTTTAATATTTTTCTTAATCAATTTAAAATTTGGTAGAATTAGGGTTTGTAATAATTTTTATCCTTTTTCTTTTCTTTTCACAATAATTAATTATTAAATATTATTTTTGTAATTAAGTTGCATGTAAATAATTAGATTAAGTTTAGGTTAAAATTTAATACTTTCTTAATAAACTAAAAAAAAACAATTAGAATTAGGGTTAGTATTTTAATTTCAATTAATCTCATTAAATTCTCATAAATACAAAAAAACCAAAAATAATTTCTTTTTCTTTAATTTGATTAATAATAATTTAATTTCGTTAAAAAAGGGTCCAACGCCCTCGTTTCTAATTTTAATTCAATTCGCATATGTATTTCTTTTTCTTTTAATTATTTATGTACCTCTCCCAAAGCCGTGTAATTTTAATCTTTCGCACTTTACTTTAATTACTTATTTTCTGTCAAATCGGGTCCTGGAAATTTTGGCGATGTGGACCCGCGCCTTTTGTAATAGTTTAGAACTTTACCCTTTCTCGCACTTTTTAACTGTTAAATAATGGCATGCAAGAATGAATGGACAAAAATAAAAACAAACGCGTAGCTCACTCATAACATGACAAGACAAAAATAAATGAATCTGACACACAAACCACACACCACCCCTAGGGTACGCCTCACTGTTGCCTTGCCTCGAAAGGTGATCGTCGAGTAGAGGATGTCTTAGTAAGTCCTCATGATCCGGGAACCTGGCATGAGGGTAGCTTCTAAGGTGTCTTCCCATTGCTCTGGTGATCACCATGTCCCGAACCTCGAATTGACCCGAACACCTCCAACGGTGGTGCTACCTACCTCTCAATGGTGGGATGGCACTACTTTAAAGGGCATCTACACAGACGAATTCCTTAGGGTAGGTAGATGACTCTAGATACTTGCTCTAATTTCAAAAACAAATCAAAAATACTTTTCACACCAACACATTTTCAAAAAGCTTTCGAAAGCAATTTTTCAAACACTCTTGAGGACTGATACAAGAGTCGAACTGGAATTTTCAAAGAAACTTTTTAAAACCCACATTGAAAAGAAAACAAACCATTTTTGAAAACACAATGAGCAAGTATCTAAGAGCCCATGGATAACCATGGATAGAAAGGGTGCTAACACCTTCCCTTTCTATAATCTACCTCCCGAACCGAGAGCAATCTCTTTAAGGAATTTTTCTGTGCTTTTGTCCTTTCCATTTGGAGAAAATAAAAGACGGTGGCGACTCTTGCTTCCGCGACATTTCGCGAACCAGCGTTAAACAGTCAGTTCTAGATCTACCGATCACAGAACTGGCGACTCTGCTGGGGAATCTTTATAAAGTGAGGTGTACCTTAGGGTTAGTTCATAACTGTGTTTTCAATTGTATTGATTTGCTTGCTTTAAATTGTGGGATTGTCTTGGGAGTTCTATAGATCCTAACCCGGATCTGGGGATACCTTCTTAGAAAGTAGCAACAAGGCTGTGAGGGAACTGTGCGGGGTATACCGACATGGTTGAAACAGTCTGCTACGTTGATGTGGCACTTTGGTGTGTACCGGTAACCTTTGAGTTCAGTCAAGGAGAGTACGGGGCCTCCGCGTGGTGTCGTGAAGCATCAACAGACCTTAGGAACCTTAATTGAACTATCTTGGCCTCTTTAGGGTAGTGAGATAACTGACTTTGGTGCAGTCCGAGGTTGGTTGATAC